GATCTATATGCATAACTTTAATAATAATATAAAAAATAAACGATTATAAAAATGGGATCTTGCTTGATTAATTTTAACAATTAAAATCATAAACGATTATAAAATGGATTTCAACATTTTGAATAGACTTAATTGTAAAGAACTAGTTCAAAATATTAGAAAATCAACCATAAAACTTGTTAATGCTGAATCGTCGGTGGATTTTTTGAACAACTGTATAGAACTTGGTCTTCTTCCTAATATATATATATATATATATATTTAGGAACGAGGTTTTCATTAATACATATTTTGTTAAATTTATTTGCCCATTTTGCATTTATCAACTTTTTTATTAATAATAAAAAAGTTGATAAATGCAAAATGGGCAAATAAATTTAACAATATATATATATATATATATATATATATATATATATATATATATATATCAGAAGAAAATAATTTCAACTTAGTACTGTGATATTTTTTTAGTTTTTATGAGATAGACTACTAGAAAATTATACATTTTAATTAAAATTTTCAATTTTGATTTACCTAGGTGGTAAAGATGAAGCAAATTGAACACACGCTCTGTGAAAAACACATTCTAAGTGCAGTATCCTTTCCTTTTATCGTCAACCTCAACTACAGTTTCAAAGTACTCATTAGTTCATTTAATGTATTGATATTTTGAGTTTGAGTGGCGTGGCGGCTTAATGGTTAAGGTCGCCTGGTCCCTATTTCGTAGTAACCGAGTTCGAATAGGGCAAAACGATTACCACCTGTCACATGCATTGTGTGTGATGCGTCGTTTTAACAGGTGTTCATATACGCTGTCTGGGTATTGTTAATTCCAAAGAACTTCGAAAAGTGTAATAGATCATAATTTAACATTTTAACATTCAAAAATTTACAATAACCATTACATTGAAGAATTGAATTGTTACGTGGATTAGCGACTTTCGTAAGACATCAAACAACGGAAATTCCCGAAAAATAGAGCATAATCTTAAACTGAAAATATAAAGGGGTAGTAGCAGCTAGGAAAAAACTTTCATACATAGAGATTTTCTTAATTACGTGAAACACTTTTTAAATGAAATCATCTACAAATTTTAATAATCTATAAAATAAAATGGGTGTAGGAGAGAGCGGGGCTATGCGTAACAAGGGTTGAATGTTACAAGTGCGATACCTTCGTCATTAAAAAAATATTTTAAAAATTTTTGCACATATAATCTTTGGTTCAAACTTGACCTTTAGATAAACAATTATCTGAAGTGACATTTTTTGTTACGGCTTTAAAAATGTAAATGAAAAATATTCAAGACCTTCAGCACCCCTTATTATATCATAATAATATAATAATCATATAATAATAATAATATATAATTATTATAATATATTAGATGATATATATAAATTATAGATATATATAATTATTTTATAATTATAATTAATCATTTATAATTAAATTTTATTATAAATATAAATTATTGATAATTATTATTTTCTTATTTTACAGCTGTTATAAAAACAAGAAGAAAAAATTGTGTTGTGTTCGATTTTAAATCGTTCTTTTCACGTCTGGTGCGTGAATACAACGCTCCTTGCTCACTTAACATTGAGCGCCACTCTTAACATGGCGCAAGTTATAAGTATAAATAATTTTTTCAAAATTCGTTTTCTCGGTAACTATAAATGCTACAATAATAAATTTGGTATTATTTTAATCAGCAAATTTTGCTTTATAAGAAAAAAAAGTTTATATACAAGAATCGTGCGTTCTGCTACTTAAAATCCTTTTTTTATCCGCATCGTTTGATAAGTTTTAACATTTTGTTTGTTTTTATTAAAGTTTAATCAATATTTATTTAAAACAAAATATACATAAAGCTAATATAACCTTCTAGGAAGAAATGTAGAATATGTTTCATGTGTTAATTCACCGCATTTTTTATTATTGATTTTTAAACCAGTCATGTCCTTGTTGTCTGGTTATTTGTTACAAAGTTTTGTACCAAATCTAAATTTTGCCATTGGCATTTTTAAATGCATATACAATAATTAAGCTAAATCAAATAATTTTTATGCATTTGGTTAGTGAAATATTTGTAAATCAATTTTATTTTAATCTTTCTTTTCTTCAGATAACATGAGAAATTACATTAAGAAAACGGATCGGATTCGCATAGATCAAGATGTTTTAGCTTTGGCAGTGAAAATCGTCAACAAAACTGGACGTTCAATTCAGGATGTTGCTAAGCAATACAGTTTAAAATTTCATGATGCTGCATCGCAAGTGTAATCCGGGCAAGACACTGTCCATAAATGACATACCCGGAATTGCAGCAAATACTTTTTTATTAGCTTTAACCCCAAAAATATTCAGTCAGGATTTCGAGTCAATGGGATTTTTTCATTCAATCGGAATGTATTCAGTGATTCTTGCCATCAGAAGTTTCTGATTGACCTGAACCACAGCCCTGTTCTAATCAGACTGGTACTAAACCTGTTTTATTGTCTTCCGATAGCACAAATCTAGGAGATGAAAGTGTAGTACCACATACAGATTATGATGTCCTTCCAGATGTCAAGCAAACTCCAAAGAAGGCTCTATTCAAACCAGTTACAAACCACACTACACCAAAAGAAATACAGCCATTCCCATCTGCTGAGCCTAGAAACACAGATGGAAAAAGTCGAAAACGAAAATTTGCAATTTTAACAGACACTCCGGTCAAAAATGCTTTGAAAGAAAACAATTAATAAAACCTGCTACCTCGAAGCAATTAATACTGGTAACAAAACGCAAAACCAAGTATCTCAATGGTGAAAAGCGAATGAAAGCAAGGAAAATAATGTTTTCTAATTGCAGTGAAAAAAACAGTATGTTTAGTTTGCGATGAATCATTGGAGGAAGATTGGATACAATGCATCAACTGCAAGAATTGGTCACACTAGAATTGCACAGATGGCAGTGACTATTACTTATGCCATAACTGTGACAATGTTAAATAATTAATAATAACAATTTCTTTAATTTTTATGTCCTATTTCAACTCGTAACATGTGTAACAATCAACCCTGCCATAGGAGCTGATTGTTACATTTGAAGTACCTTGCTATTTCTTAGTTTTTTCATTTATGGTAGAAAATAAATAAGTTTTAACTGTTTCAGTATGTGAATAATAAATTGTTTAATACATATAAAAAGTCTTAACATAGTTGTTTCAAAAACAACAGAGTTATATCAAGATTTATGAAAATTGTAACATATAGGTCCGCTCTCCCATATAGATTAGTATCCTTTTTCAAAGGTACGTAATAAATATCAAAATAAGCTAACTATTAAACTCTCACCCTGAAACAATAACATTAAGCATATAATAAAATCTTTTCTAAAGTTTTTTTTCATAATGTTGATTGCATTTTATAAAATTTCTTACGCTAAATTTCTTCGTATATTTTTGCAATATAAATTTTTATAAAAAAATCCTTAAACTTTGAAAATTTTTAAATAACATTTTAATTTTAGCACGTACTTTTCACATTTGTAAACAATCAGTCTATGTGTATTGTACAGAATAATAAAATTGAGTATAAATTGGTTACCGCGATGTGCCAAGAACCACAAAAAACTACATTCAAAGTCTTTTTTAAATATTTCTTTATCACCTGTTGCAGCTGAAAGAACTTATTTTTCAGCAAATACAAACAAACTAACAACGAAATTTTTAACAATTTATTATATTTAAAATATATTTTTAGAGTCAAGTATTAAAGATAAAAGTTAATATGCTTTATTAACAATTTACTGTCGTTACTTGCAAAATGTTTGTTTTGTACATTCGCAATATTATTTAATTGCGTTAACTATTTTTTCTAGTAGTAATATTTGAATTGCATTAGGAATAATTTTGATTATTTTTATTATCATTGTTGTTATTAGTAGTATTTTAACGGCATTAGAGCTCCCATAATCAACTTGTTTGCTCTTGTTTTACTATTATTGGTTATTAAAATTATTGTTTTTATCTATCTATCTGCTCATTTTTTATTTCTTTACACCATCATTTATGTATTTATTTATTTATGCAACTATATTTAATATTATTTTATTATTTATTTATTGATATAATTATTATACAATTTATTTATTTTTTTTTAATTTTGTTAATTTGTTTTGACTTGCATGTCCCGAAACGATCAGCACTGAAAGGGACAGCTCGAAGCGAGCCACCTCGGAGCACCAGCGCAGGACCAAAAATTACATAATAATTCCATATTAAATTTTTCATGTTTGAATTTATAACATCAGTTACATATTAACGGTTTAGTTACAAACAGTTTATTAAATTATTTATCATAGTGATGGATAAAACTTGGCATACCATTTTAGGATCATTTAAACTGGCACTAAAAATTCATAGGAATACCGATTTTCAGCTCAATTTTTTCGGTGTTCCTATTTGATGGCAGAGGGATATACCACAGACCCAGCTTCTGACGACGCTCTGATTATATGATTGTATATTGTTAAAACAATAAGAAATGCTGCTAAGAATGTCCATAGAGCAGTATTTCCGATAAGGAATTTATAGATAATAATTTGTTTTATGTATTTATTTGATAAATTTAGATTCTCTTTCTTCAAGAAAATTAAGTTAGATGAACTAATATAAATAACGTTAACTTTGCTAAAAATGTCTAATTTTACCACTGTTTACTATTAATTTTTGTTGTTTAATTTTTTAAATTTAAAAATAAAATGTTTATATACCACAGGATAATTCATATTTGTATATGGTACTTGAATTTGTTTGCGGCGGCGAGATGTTTTCACATTTGAGGCAGAGTGGTCGTTTCACGTTGGTCGTTTACCCTCTATTTAAAATTTTTTGTTTTTATATAATGTTCTACATTCGACTGTTTACAAATTTAATGTGTATAGTTTTTTTCAAATACTAAACAAAATTTTGAGGCATAAATAAGAAATAAAAAAATGTTGCTCATCAAAGGGAGGAGCAGACCAAATTCTACGCCGGTCAGATTGTTCTCGTCCTAGAATATTTGCATAACATTGATGTTGTTTACAGAGACTTGAAACCAGAAAATCTACTCATTGATAGAGATGGATATCTAAAAGTTTGTAAACTTATTCAGATTCGAAGTTTATTAAATGTTAATATATTTGACTAATTTTCATAAATATAGATTTGCATTTTTTAAGCAAACTGTTTTAAATGTAAAAAATGAAAATTATTTTTTTTTAGGTGACAGATTTTGGATTTGCTAAAATAGTAAAATCACGAACGTACACTTTATGCGGCACTCCTGAGTATCTCGCGCCTGAAATCATTCAAAACAAGGTGCTATTCCATTAAAATTTTCGAATATCTTTCACTTAGAATTATTTTATCAAAGATTGTATTCAAAGATTTTAATAACTCATATATATATATATATATATATATATATATATATATATATATATATATATATATATATATATATATATATATATTGTATTGATGAGAATCATTATTGATGAGAATCACAGCATGTTCGTCGTTGGTTAACTTTTAATTTACTTTTTCTATTTTTCTAACGGTTGATCGTAAATTATTTTCAAGTTTCTTGAGTTCAAACCAAAATTTTTGTTTCTTTTATCCATGATAGAACAAAAAAGCCTTTTTTGTATCCCTCACCGTCTTCTACTGTACCTTGCCTCTACTATACTTTGTACGGTGTTCAAATTGATATGTTGTGTATGTGCTCAGATGTTCAAATATATAAATACCTTGCCTCTACTGTACTTTCTTGATTCCTTGTTTGTTTAAAGTGAATGCTTAACGCTCATTTAATTTGTTTTACAATCTTTAACTTTGTTTAATATAACACTTTTACGTGTTTTCATTATTGATGACTCTTCCGTTTCGAAATTTATTTAAGATAGAATTCTAATTGCCCGTCGTTAAATATTTATTGTCGGATGTCTTTGTTCTATGAGTACTGATTCAGCTAGTTGTAAATTATAATGGTTGTTATTGTAATGTAAGATTTCAACAATGTGGTCCAAGATTTGTCTAGTAATTTTAGTTTTGTGTTTCTATTTCACGTTATTCTTTATAGCGCCAGTTTCTACGTGCATTGTGAGTCTTCTCGATAACTTGGTCGTTGTTGTGTATATTATGATATAAAAATCGAAAAGTTAAATTGGAAGTTAACTACCGCCGAACATGCTGTGATTTTCATCAATAATTGCATTTCTGGCAGTCTTAATTATATATATATATATATATATATATATATATATATATATATATATATTTCAAAAATTCAACACTACTTTCAACATTGTTCAATTTTTTTATATTTCTTTTTAATTTATTAATTTCAGAAAAATTAGACATTTTATTGTTTTTTAAAAATTTTTATTAAATAAATTTGCAAATAGCTATTTCGAGTTATAGATAACTCATCTTCAGTGCATTATATGAAAGATTGATGAAAGATCGTTAAATGAAATCAACTTCATCAAAGAACGCCATCGAGACCATTGTTTCCAACGAATTAGGAAAAAACTTAGCAATTTATATCGCGGACCAGTTTTGTTGCCACAATACCAAGATCATTTCCTTAATCTTAGTAGCCATCAGTTGACAATAGATGAAAAACAATTTTTGAACCTCGGCTTGTCACCTCATAAAAAATATAATGCACTGAAGATGAGTTATCTATAACCCGAAATAGCTATTTGCAAATTTATTTAATTAAAATTTTTAAAAAACAATAAAATGTCTAATTTCTCTGAAATTAATAAATTAAAAAGAAATATAAAAAAGTTGAACAATGTTGAAAGTAGTGTTGAATTTTTGAAATGTTGCGTTAACAACAGTCTGTTAACAATATATATATATATATATATATATATATATATATATATATATATATATGTATATAAAATCAAAGAAGTAAGTATATCGAAAACCAACTTAAAATTATTTGAAATGACAGGGTTATAACAGGGCAGTTGACTGGTGGGCATTTGGTGTGCTTCTTTATGAAATGATTTCTGGTTATCCACCATTTTTCGGTGATAACCCTATTCAAACTTATGAAAAAATAGTCGCTGGAAAAGTAAGTAGTAATTTTTTATTGCAGAATTTTCCCAAGATTGAAGCATTTTTATTCAAAGGTTAGATTTTCACCGCATGTTGCCCTCGATTTGAAAGAACTTATCAAACATTTGTTACAAGTGGATGTGACGAACAGGTTTTATTTGACAAAAGCTTTAAAAATTTTATGTAAACGTGCATGCATTTATCATTATTTTTTATGATATTTAAATTTGTTTGAGCTATTTTTATGACTAATATTAAACATTTTTGAAGCCTCTTATCGTTGGTCGAAAGCGCACTAACCTTTTTCATTGAAATAAAACAGTTAACAATTAATATAAAAGTCTGAACAAAATTAGGATTAAGTAATGATGATAATAAAAAACTTTAAATATTAAAAATTAATTAAAAACCACGAGAAAGAAAACTTCAACTTAAAGTTTTGATGGTTCGTTTTTCATTAACCTGAAAAATCAGAATTACGAGCAAACTTATTCATGAGAACAAAGGCGAAAAATGTTCAAATTCTTTGACAAATGAGCAAAAGTATTTTCTTCTATGCTAATGAATTCGCATAATTTTTCATGACATAAAAAGCATGAAATCTTCTTGACCGCACGAATCCCTTCTTTTTGTTAGTAAAACAAATCTTTAGACGAGCATTTTCACATCATAAATTATTTCATTATGCAAAATCCAGGTTATTTAGTTTAAAAACGATAGTTGAATAACAAAATCAAAAAATAAAAGATAATTAAAATAAGCAGTAATATAAAAAACATGACTTGCCATTTTCTAAATATTTTTAAGGCTATTTAATAATTTTTCTAAATCAAACAAGTTTAAGTGATAAAATATTTTGTGTAACACTTCAAAATTATTTGCGCAGTTTTTTAAACAGAATGAAATTTCATTAACCAGCAAATTTATAAATTAAATTTAGGTACGGAAATTTAAAAAACGGTGTGCAGGACATCAAAGGTCACAAATGGTTCAATGACGTCGATTGGCTTTCTCTATACGATAAACGAGTAATTTTACTTTATTTTTTATTATTCTTTAAAAATCAGGATCTGACATACGCAGAAACTGTTACAGCATGCAAAAATTAATAAATAAATAAAAAACGAAGAAAGAAAAATGTTTAAACATGAAAAGTATTGAAAATAAAATAAAGTAATGGCATAAAAAGGCAAATTAATAAAGTTATTGATAGACTAGATAATTATTTAGTGAGTTAGTGAGGTGATCAATAAGTAAAAGGAAAACTAGATTGAGAAAAGGATAAAGTTTTGAGTGTTAATATGTTTGAGGTGTCATGTAATGAAAGTCTTTTCCCGATATGTTGATTGAGTGGTGACTTGGTAGTTTTGATTGGTGAAAGTAGAGAATAGATGACGTGGTTGTTGTTTTTTTCTACTTTCTTGAACAATCTTGAATTGAGTGTGTTGAATATCTGAGTGATGGTAGGAAATGATGCAGGTAGATAGTTGAAGCGAATTAGTTTTTAGATGAGAGATTGCATTTGTTGAAGTTGTTGTTGTGTAGCAAAACCAGACCAGGATGGAGCTGCATATTTGATGCGTGAGATGATTAGTGATTCGGTGATGTCGAACAATTTAACGCCTCTGAGACCATATGAGCGAAGTGTTTTGAGTGCGTAAAATGTTTGAAAACGTTTTGTGATGATGTGATTAATACAAGGTGCTACATTAAGTGTGGAGGTGAATGTGATACCTAATATTTTTAATTCATTTGTGCGAGTGATAGATGGGTGTTCTGGAGGTAATGTTATTTTTTATGGCTATTGTGAATAACGAGTTCTAATGATTTATTGAGGTTAAATGACAGATTGCATTGTTTTGACCATGTGGTTAATGAGTCGAGTTTTGATGGATGGTGTTTGTGTTAGATGATGGGATGATAAGGTAGGTGTCGTCAGCGTATTTGATGATTTGATTAGAGCTATGAAGAGTTTTAAGAGTAGAAGCATTTATGATAAAGGTAAATTGTCTAAGGACAGAACCTTGAAATACGCTAGAGTTAATAGGTAGAGTAGATGAAAGAGTAGAGCTAAAAAAAGTAGAATGACTCATATTAGAAAGAAAATTTATTATATAATTGTAAATGTTGTCAGGTAAAGGAGGAGAGGCTAACTTATTTGAGAATGAAAAATGATTGAGAATGTCAAAAGCTTTAGAAAAGTCAAGAGGTATGAGATGAACATAATTATTATTTTTAAGAAAAGATGTTATTATAGAGGTAAGAGAGATAGATGATAGCGGATGTAGATGAACCAGTAGGGCAAAATGCAAACTGGTCTTTTAATGGGCTGATGAATGGAGGGTCTGTTGATCTGATCGTGATGTTTGATGTTGGGTAGTAAGTGTTGTAAGCAGCTGATGATTTTATAAAATTTATCAAAATATTGTCGCAGAAAATTATCGATAGAATTAGTTATGATTATATTATCGTTACCATATTACCACATGTTAATATTATTATTATCATTGGCACTATTGTTAACATTATTATTATTCTTACAAGCATTATTACTATTAGTAGGACTATTATTATTATTGTTATTTTTGATATTATCAAAATCAATGGTACTATTATTGAAATTGCTGGTAGAGTATTGTTGGTAGTGGTGACGTTGAAGTCGAAGATATTATTCAAGTCGATGTTGTTGAGCTTTTGAAGACAGGCACTACTCTGTGTGACCTTGGTGGGTGGGACTCCAGAATATAGGGTGTAGACCTGTTTGAAGAATGGAATGATGGTCGACTAGATTGAAGTCACCCCCAATGATGAGTTTAGAGTCGCCCACGAACGCAGTGCTGGAGAGTTCATCGATGTAACCCATCAAGGAGGAGACCTCGTGTGATGAATGTTTTGATGGATGATAAATGAAGTATGGTTTACTGTCAATAATGCACTTGAGACAAAAGATTTCCAGTGTACTATTGATGTGAATTTGAGATAAGATGGATGACTTCAAATAGATGACACCTCATCCACGCTGCTTGCCAGGGCGGTCTTTCTGAAGGGTGTGTAGCCATCTATTGCGATCAAACCACGAGGGTAATCTGGCCTAAACCATGACTCGGTGATGATGATGATGTCAGGGTGAAGATGATAGACATCACATGTCAAATGCTCAATAACATGTGGCTTGACAATGCTAATGGCATTCAAAATGTAGATGGTGGGTGGACGATGACATGGGATGATTTTGGCTGGGTTGGAAGTCGGGGTGAATTTGATGTTGATGAGATTGAGAAAATTAAATGAGGTGCGTCGACTGGGTCGGTTACTTCTTTTACGGGTTGATGAAACTAATGCTACTGGTATTGCTGATGATGAATTAGTGTTAGGTAGATAAGCTGGGGGGTGATGATGTTGAAGTTTTTGTAGAGTGCTGTAGCGATTGAGGAAAAGAGGAGAGGTGCTGATGTTGATGATAATCAGGGTTCCAAATTTTGTTAAGGAAGAGAGTTTTCCATAGTAATCTTTTGATGGCAAATTTGTCGGAATGAAAATCAAGCAATTGTTGGCGCGTTTATTGAATCATGGTTTAGAGCAGATGTGAGCGATAAATTAGAAACGAGTAAAGAGTGATTAAAAGTAAAAAACGAACGAAAAAATAAAATTAATAAAACAGAACACTAAAACTTAATTGAGAAAATTGGAATTAGCTAAAAATAAAATTATTATTTGAATTATATTAGCATGTTTTCCGATAGCTAGACATGTGCACGCACGCACGCACCGGAAACCAAAAAAAAAGAGTAGTTTAAAATGCTGTGTGTTAGAGTCTGTTAATTTGGTTAGATATGTTAAATGAATGAATTTTGTCTTGAACTTTTTAAGTATTTATCATTCGATTTTGGGTTTGATTTAATGATTATTTACATTTCTATTAATAACTGTTCAATTGATAATCAGATACAAGCCACATTTTTGCCAGCATGCAAAGATGACAGTGACCCGGGTAATTTTGATGATTATGATGAAGAGCCTTTAAGAATAGCTGTCAATGAAAAACATGCATTAGAATTTGCAGAATTTTAAGTGTTTTGCGATTCATTTGTTTTGAAAGCGTTGAATCAAAATTTCATTTGTTGACTCTTTTACAAATAAAATTTGTTTGAACATCTTCCTGTAAAATATTCGAAAGATTTGTATTTAATCATTGTTCATTGATTAAAATTTTTATATAAAATTACATGTTTACGCGTGATGTATGAGTATATATGTGTGTAAATAATTAGAAAAATAATTACGCTCGGCATAATTTAATTTTTTTAATTTTGCTCTACGTTTATACATATCAGTCGATGATCTTCTTTGATACGACGAGAGACCGTTGAAATAGATGACGACTTCATCTTTGTACATATCAAAAACACATTTCTATTATTTACCAATTTTATTGAATTCACTATTCTCTTTTATAAATGTGGAGTAGCAGGAAATATCATTCTGTTATGTCATTCCCCTCATTTTTTGCATTTTTTGCAGGTTTTCCAATTTTTCTTTTTAGTTCTAGTTTCATCAGTAGAGAGTTAATCATACTAATATCCGGCACGCTGCAAACATGTTCCAACTTGTGCTTTAATCTTTTTTTGTGTATAGTTTTTTGTTTATGTGTATGTTTGTGTATAGTTTTTGTGAATAGTTAAATATGATTTTGCTTCTTGTTTCCTGTATTCAGCTGATTATTACAAATTTTATGTAGCATGCTATTTCAAACGCTTATAATCTTTTTTCACTCTTACTGTTTGAGTTTTGCTATCACATAGCAATGTTGAAAACAATATATTGTTATTTTCAATTTTCTGTATGATTATTTCTTATATATATATATACTTATGAATTGAAACGGGTTGAAAGTTAAGAAAATCTTCGAGTTGAAACCTACAAAATCTTATATCGCCTGTAACTGGTGATTGAATTCAAATTAAAAAGTTTGATTGATATGTAGATAAATTGACCGATTGATTGATTGACTGTTTGATAGACGTGATAAATAAATAAACAGTAAAAATGAATGAACGAATGAATGAATGAATAAAAAAATTAGTGCATAAATAAAAAAAATATATGCATGAATAAAAATAATAGATAAAATAAATGAATGAATGAATAAATTAAAAATGAATGAATAAACAAACAAATGAATAAATAAACAAACAAAAGAAATAAATAAATGATTGGATAGATGGGTGGATGGATTTACGACTGATTGATTGATCGAAATTGATTGATCGAAATTGATTGATTGATTGATTGACTGACTGACTGACTGACTGACTGACTGACTGGTTGGTTGGGTGGTTGGGTGGTTGGTTGGTTGGGTGGTTGGTTGGTTGATTGACTGACTGATTGACTGACTGGCTGACTGACTGACTGACTGACTGTCTGACTGACTGACTGTCTGACTGACTGACTGACTGACTGACTGACTGACTGACTGACTGACTGACTGACTGACTGACTGACTGACTGACTGACTGACTGACTGACTGACTGACTGACTGACTGACTGACTGACTGACTGACTGACTGACTGACTGACTGACTGACTGACTGACTGACTGACTGACTGACTGACTGACACAGTAACACAGCTATGGCGGAAATAATCGGAAATGTGACACAGATATGGCGGAAATAATCGGTCTAATCAAATTTAAATAAAGATAAAATGAAAAAATTGTAAATGCCTATAGGAGATAATTCGAAAGTATTTATTAAAAAGTTATAGCGTTTAAAATCGTTCACTAGGTTTTTTTAAACTGGTTGTATATTTATCGACATTGTATTTCCTTGACTTGACAAAGTTTTGATTTATGGCAAATAGATAATTTTAGTATTCCAATTGTCGTTTCATTTTCCATATCGACAAAATTGGCGATGTTCAAATCAGCGCATGCCTTAATGTTGTTGACTATTATTGAGAGAATTTTGTTGTGGCGATTTAAAAATCGTTGAGTGCTGCTATAGAGCTAAAATTTGACAGAACTTGTTTATTAGTTTGTTTCACATTGCAAAGAGCATTGGTTGTTTTGCCCCATCTGTGAAGGTTAGCATTTGTAGGCAGTTGTTGTATAATGTATTTTCTTGGAAATTTATAAAAAACCTCCGATAGTTTTACAAAGTTCAAATATTGATTGAGATGAAGCGAAGCGTCTTAGAATCTCAAATTTCCACTGAACGGATGTATTCAGCCCATCAATCGTATGCAGTATATGTTTAAGTTTATCGTACAATAGCTCCATTTCTTTTACGTTCTGCATTCGAAGTCATATATTTTTCAAAATAAATGAAATGATTATTGATGTTAATCTGCGAGATCGTTTCTTTATCAATTGTTAATTTGGGTAAAAATTGTTCATATTTTCTGTAGATCTTTTGCATCTCATATGTACAACATTTATTTATTCTCATCTTTATACCTGTTAATTGGTTATCGTACAGGCGTGCCACTCAAAACTTTAACACATCACACGAACAATCCGTGAAATGGCATAGCATGCATTTGAATCCAATAAGGCAAAGTAATCCTAGAGTAATCCACTAAACCATTTACGCCGGTAACGTAATTCAATTAATTTATTTTTATTTATTTTTATTTTTCTTAAATATTTTATTTTATTTATTTATTCATTTATTCAAAACAAAAAAAAACTGCAAAATAAAAATAGGAATCAATGGTTTTCGGAGACCAAATAAGAAAATTAACTTGTATAAAACACCGTGTCACTTCAGTAAAGGGAAAAAAAGAAGAGGAAAAATGATATGAACGTCAGAACTATTATGTTAAGTAATAATTAGTTATAATGCATCCTTTGACAAAATGCAACCAAAACAGTGAAATGAAATTTAAAGAGTAAATCGACATAAAAAGGTGACAACAAAATAAACAAATATCTCGACATATGAAATTAAATGAATATGATAATAAAATCGAACCATATATTTATTATATGATTTTATGGTGGGTCAATTGTTAATGAAAACTCAAATAACTTTTTTCTAAACAAAACAATGTTAACAATGTTCTTTATGTTGCATGGAATTGTATTGTCCCACAGCTTAGGTTCAGCGAACAACAAATTTGACTGAAACATAAAGGATTTCTGTGGGTGGATGTAAAATGTCTTTAAATGATCCATCGTACTGATGTTCAAGTCACATGTTAAGCTTAGACAATTTTTAAAATATGCTGGTAGTTTGTTGCGAAAAAATTTGAAAACAAACATAGAGGCATAATATGTGAAGAGTTGTTTTATTGTCAAAATCTTAATCACTGGAAATAGTTGAGTGACATGGTCTTTATACTGGAGTTAATAAAATATTTTAACAAATCTTTTTTGAATTTTGAGCAAATTTTAGGTCCCATTATTTTATGTACTCCACAGTTCAGTGGGAGAGAATCTGAATTAACATCATAAAGAGAAACATATTGAGATCTTTTGTATAAATTTTGATTTTTATAAATCAGGAAATTATTTTCAACTTTAAGATGCTTGGAAATTTTGCAATAAATTATCTTAACTCGAGTATAAATTATTTATTATTATTTTTAATTTCAATCTTACTCCCATAGCGCCTTCATTACTCGCGCCTTTTTTGCCTTGCGCCCTTTTTGCTTTGCCCCCTTATTGTACGCGCCATTTTTGGCCGCGCTTATTTGCACAGCGCCTTTTTAACTGCGCCCTTTTGTCGGTGAGCTCTTCTTCAGCATGTAGGTATTGACGATGATTTCCAGCATTCAACCCTCAGTTGGTGAAGAATTGTGCCAATTATTAGACATTTTTTGAAAACAATAATAATAATAAGGCTTCAGTAATAATAATAATAAAGCTTCAGTTGTTTGCCTTCAGCATTATTTAGAATATAGTTATTAATAACTAATTGATTTTAATCTAATAAATCATTGTACTAATAGCTAATACGATTTTTTCAATAACGTGACGCTATTTTTAAATAAAAACAAAAATAAAAATGTTTACAAATTTAATGTCTAAATATCTAGTACAAACATAAATTAAATTTTTATTTAAAATGTGAGTAAAACATTATAAATAAATATATATATAAATATATATATAGAAAGAGAGAGAGAAAAAAAAGAGTTAAATAGTTCTAACTAAATTAAATTTTAAAAGAAAATAGTTCTAAATAAATTAAACTTTAGTTACTTTTGAATTATGATATATTTACATAAGCAATACACACGCCAAAATGACATTTACGTTTGGAATTAATAATGTTTAATATTTTTTCAAAACGTGCTGTCAAGAAACTAATCCTTCAAAAATTCAAAACACACAAGGAGCCCAATCAACAAATTTTTGAAGATCATAACTTGATTTGGATTGACAAACCATTTAAAGAGAAGACACCAAAAAATAAAAACGTAATTTTGAAGTTATTTTTTAGCTGTTAAATATTATAACTTTGATTGCGCAAAAAGTTAGCTCAACTAAAAGATTTCGAGTTGAAAGGACGTCTAGGAGGTGGATCATATGGAATTGTACTTCTGGTCAAGCACACGAAAACCAAAATATTGCATGCTTTGAAGATTCAACTTCCCGATAAGGCTATTTATTTTTATTACGACTCTTGTGAATTTAAGTAAACTTATATTTTCTGAATTCCCGTAACATAAACACACGTAACCTATTGAAGCATTTTAGCATTTAAATAATGAATGTTTTTAATGCTTACATTGAATGTTTGCAAGAGTGATGTATCCGAAATAATGGATTTTTTATTTTTATTAACTAAGTTTGTTACTTATGGATTGACCCAAGGTGATCAATGATATCTGCCGATAAGTACTGATACATTCGATAAGTGGAAAAATTTAAAAAAAAAAAATCATCTTGCTAGCAGTGATTTTAAACTTGCTAGCAGAGGTATTATTGACAGTATTTTTAGAGCATGAATGCAATCTTGCGTCTGTGAGTGGTCTGAACTGAAAATAATTAGCAGCCGGCAGACAAACAAGAGAAAAACATTTTTCCTTTTTATGCCTAACTGTTACAAAATTACAAATATCGTTTCCCTGAAATGGTCCTCTGTTAAAATCTGACAAACATTGGCCAAACATTTCTTCACTATTCAAATTACTATCAAATAGCTCAATAACATCAATATAATTGTTGTTGAGAGCTGAAAAGTTGTTTGTGTATCAGTTACTCTTGTCAAACATGCTGTACCGCTCGTATTTATGTTAACCTTTCTTTTGCACCTCACTAAGCATTCCGCAAATCTCACTAAGAAAATTCAAAGATTTGGATTAATTCTGATAGTCCAAACAGGAAAACAGATTTTGAGTATCATTTATATACATATATTGGGTTGAGACTATTTGATATGCAGTTGTTAAAAAATACCACAGCACTGAATGCATTGTTCAATTTGCAAGTGAGTTTTTCAATTTTTCGTACGAGGAATTTCAGTTCATTTCCAAGTTTGTTCAGTTCATAAACAAAATTTTTATTCATTTTCTGCATTTTGTTTAAATATCTATGTACATTCTAATATAGCTTTTTTCGACAATCATCAGTGTTGAATATGAATTTTGTTTTATATGCCTGTTTATATAGGTTTAGAGTTATTGACTTTGTTATTGAGTCTTCACTAAATGAATTTGTTTGGATTCTGACTTAGTTAGTCGGTAAGACTCCGGTAGCGTGTTTTGGAATATTTTTTGCTCGACGTCTTTGTTCGATGAGCAAAGATTCTGCAATTCTTACATTGTGTGGATTGTTTTTGTAGTGAATTATTTCTACGTTATTGCCAAGTATCTTTATCTCTCTGGTGATTTTTAACAACACAAAAATCACCAGAGAGAAACTTGACAATAACGTAGAAATAATTTTACGACAAGAAAATAAATATTTTAACGAAAATGCAAAAAATGAATAAATAAAATATAAAAAAATAAAAATTTTATTTATAAACTTAACAAACATGATAATGAACATAAATTCGTCGTATGAAAAATTGTCAAACTCGATTAAAAACTGAACAACGTAATTCCGAATATATTATATAGTTATCGAGAAGACTGATGATGCACGTACAAACTGGCGCTATAAAGAATCACATGAAAGAGAAACACAGAACTAAAATTACTAGACAAGTCTTGGACCACAGTGTTGAAATCTTACATTTAAATATCAACTATTATTATTTGCGACTAGCCGAGTCAATACTCAGGGAACAAAGACATCCGATAATAAATATTCAGCTATGTGCAATTGGAATTTTTCCTCTAATAAAATTAGAAACAGAGGATTCATCGACAACGAAAACACGTAAAGTGTTATATTAAACGAAGTTGAAGATTGTACAACTAATTAAATGAGCGTTAAGTATTCACTTTGAACAAACAAGGAATCAACAAAGTAGTGTGGAGACACAATATATACTCAGCTACTTCACCGCGTCCAATAATAGTCAAATTCATCAATACGGCAGTTAAGTCATAGATTATGAAAAAGCTTTTTAAAATCAAATTGTTGGATGTGAACATGAAGAGTGTGAAGGTTAGTGATGACCTAACTAAGGATCGACGTGCCCACCTGAAAAAGTTGATCAACGATGCAAAGATGAGTGAATCCAACGAAGCTGGTTTTTTATACCGAGTCAGAGGATCGGCAGGGCGGTGGGGGAATAAAAAATATCCGAAACCTGCATCAAATCAAACTTAAACCTGGGTTTACAAAATATAAGGCCAATACGTTCTAAATATGATGCGGTTTATGAGTTGCTGTCTAATAGTATAGACGTATTCGTATTGACTGAGACATGGCACGGTTCATCTAATGATTTAAGAGTAAGACTGGCAAAGCCTGAAGAATTTGATTATGTTGACTGCGTGCGACCTCTGGACCCAGGTCATGGTGTAATAATTGTTTACTTCAAAAAAAGTTTTAAAGTTAAAAAATTGAAATGCCGGTTTCCATTCCTTCGAGGCAATTGTTCTTAAAATATTCTGCGGTAAAATAAGTATTATTTTATTAAGTATTTATAAACCGGGTTCAGCTCCAATCACGCCTGCTTTTTTCAATGAAATCGAAACCATGTTGGGTGCTGATTTTGTGATACTGGCTGGAGATTTGAACGTACACGTTGAAAGAACGTATGATGATCATGCTGCCAACCTTTAAAATCTTTGAACTATTCAATGTGCTTAATAGAGCTGACGAACCTACTCATGTTCATGGTGTTACCTTGGATTTGGTTGCTTCATCGATGGAACTTTCGGCATCTGCTTTTTCGGTGAGTCCTTGTGGTTTGTTTTCTGATCATGGTTTGGTTCAAGTTAAATTTCCTTTGGTTTTCAAGTTGCCGGTGGTTAGAAAAAAACTGGTTCGTTCATGGAATCGTGTAGATGGTAATCAGTTCGCCACTTTGATATAAAACTCGCCAATCTGTGGACCATTTGATTTGTCTGATCCAGAGTTTTTGATTACATTGTTCAAGAGGGAAATCAAAGCTATAATAGACATTGTTTCTCCACAGCACTTGGTAGCATCCAAAAATATGCCAGCTTCACCGTGGTTTGATGATGAATGTAGGTTTTCTAAGAAATCATGCCGAAGAACTGAAAGAAGGTACCGTCGTGATCCAAACGCAAATATAAAAAAAAAATTTCGTTGAGTCTGTCAGGAAAAAACATATTTTGCTTTTTTCGAAAAGGAAAAATTACTGGAGATATTTAATCGATTCCAATCGATCTAGCCCAGGATGCTTTAGAGGACAGTCAATTAGGTTTTATGCACAACCAAATCATCAAATTCACCTGATATGTCTGTTGATTTCAACCCAGATGACTTTGCACAGTTTTTTTTAAATAAAGTAGATACAATTCTTGAGACAACGAAACATTTCAAAGAACCAATAATTCAATCGACGCATCTCGATAATGAAATGTTGTTTTTCTCTTTCCAACAATGTCCTTGTGATGAGATTTGCAAAATTGTTCTTGATTCATCAATGAAGTCTTGTTTGCTTGACTGTCTACCAACAAAGCTGTTTCAAAAGTACGTTGATCTGTTTCTTCCGTTTCTAACATTTTTCATCAACTTATGTCTAGCATCTGGTTATTTTCGAGGTCGTTAAAATTTGCAATTGTCACTCCGTTAATGAAGAAACAGACTCTAGACGAAAATACATTAGCAAATTATAGGCCGGTATCAAATCTGCCATTTTTATCAAAAGTTTTTGAGCGAATCGTTCAAAAACAGCTTCTGCATTATTTCAATCAACACAACTTTCTGCCAAAATATTAATCAGGTTTCAAAAAACTTCACTCAACCGAGTCTGCATTGATTGATGTTGCATCAGAGTTGTTTGCAATTATGGATGGTCAAAATATCTCAGTTGTTGCTCTACTCGACGTGACTGCAGCATTTGATTGCGTTAACATGCGATTTTACTAAAAAAAAACTTGAAAATTTTTTTGGAGTCTCAGTAGTTGCACTGAAATGGTTAGAATCATATCTTTTAGAGCGTAAACAACAAGTTTCATTCAACAATAAAACATCAAATATTTATGAACTCAACCATGGTATACCTCAAGGTTCTGTTTTGGGACCATTTCTGTTTCTACTGTACACGTCAGATGAGTTCGATTTGATAGAGTTATTCAATTTAAAGTATCACGCATTGCTATTGATATTCAGATTGTGGCAAGTGGATCGGCTGCTTTGTTCCAAGAAACCGTTGACAAACTTGTTCGATGTCTTTTGGCCGTGGTGTCGTGGATGATTGATCATCAACTGAAATTTAATCACGCCAAAACTCAGTTTTTGCCTGTAGGAAAGTGGCAGCAAATTGCTAGATTGCAAATTGACTGTCAGAATCAACAACTCTGATATCTCATTCTGCATGTCCTCCCAAATTTAGGAGTTATTTTGATAAAAACATTTAATTAATGACCAATTATAGAATGTCACAATCAGCTTTGAATGTTGAGAACAATAAGACGTACATTAAATGAAACAACTTTAAAAAGTTTAGCTCATGCATTCATTCATTCAAGACTAGACTATTTGCAATAGTTTTTCTGTGGTGTATCCAAAAAATTAATTTCTAAATTGCAGTCAATCCAGAACAAGACTGCTAAGCTTATTGTTAGAGGCTTAAAATTCGAGCATATTACGCCAATACTACGTGAGCTCCATTGGCTTCCAATAGATGAAAGAATTACTTATAAATTGGCTGTAATGATGTTTAAAATTGTTAACGGAGTGGCACCTACATATCTAGTTAAAAGATTGTCTGTTAAAGCACCACAGTTGGGACGTTTGCGATTGAGAGCCGACTGCACGCATCTACTGAATGTATCTCAAACTCAGTTTATGACTGGTGGAAGAAATTTTGCAGTGGGTGGACCCATGGTCTGGAACAGTCTGCAGTCTGCCTCCTAGTCTTCGTCTACCTGAACTCTCGCTTTCTGATTTCTGCAAAAAATTGAAAACGCACTTGTTTAAACAACATTTTTATTCTTGTATTTCAAGATCAACTTATTACGAAACTTATTACGATATGTTTTTTTATTTTTGTAAATGCTTTTGTAAACTTTTTGTTTTAAAAAGCGCTGTATAAA